TAGCATGTGGATTCACAACTCCCTTAACAGGTTTATTATTGTGAGACAATGTTGATGACTGTTTGCTTCGAAAGTCTATTATGATAAACGCAGTCTAACCTAATTGGAAAACTGTGACAGAATGATGCATCTGGAATGTTACAGCGCTCTTGTTCTCAACAAGACAGCAAAACGCTCTCGAGGAAAGAGTACAATATATTATATAAAATAAAAGTGGAAATCCTGTCAAAGCTTAATTACTTTTTTAAACATGTCACTTCAAATAAGAAGAAATACGTTTCACTGCTCCTAAAAACACAAACTGCCGGAACAACAAGTGTTTACAGATCTGACATTTCTTTTTTTCCCCCATCAGGTGTTGAATGCAAATTAGCCCTTTTAATCCCAGTGGTTACATCTGTGATGAAAATGTATTTTGAATTTGAATGGTCTAAAAATTATTTCTGATGTATTTCATGCAGAGATGTCAACTGTAAATGAAAACACAGGCTTCTTGATTTCATTATTACATGACTGTTGCAAACAGTCACATGACCCAAGCTGTTTAATTCCAGTTTACCTCTCTCAAATATAATATATATATACACAGTATAATATATATATAAAATATATTTTCTCTCTTTAACCCCCTTAAAAAAGCATTTAAAATGTCATAACTCAAACTGTGTAATATCGCGGTCTCATAAAAATCATGATCAAAGGAATCATAAACGTCACATTTGTGACCACAAGGAAAAGTCCAATTTTGAAAAAGTAACTTATTGATTCACCTGATGAAATGTTAGATTTTAAAGTACTCTTACATTAAATTATCCCCCTCACAGAGTATTGATTGCAAAGTTCTCTTGGGTCTTATTGAGCAATTTTGGCATTTACAGTTGTGACTGTAAATAAAACACACTTTCGATAACTTTTTTAGACTGTGCACCATTTGGGATATTAAGTGTGTTATTTTACACCCACTAGAAACAGTTAATTTTGCTCTAGGGAAAGTAAACTATAATCATGAACTAATATGCTGATTTAAAGCTCAAGACAACATTGCTTTCTATTATCAATGTTGAAAACAGTTATGCTGTATAATATCTTTGTGGAAACCGTGATATATTTTATAGCAACTTATAAACTACACCAAAGTATCGCTGCAGCTGAAAAAGAAACAAATCAACGCGCTGCTAAAATCTTGTAAACAAAGCCGCACAATCGTCACGTCATCGCGCCCTAGTACTGTACAGAGGCGCGCGCTCTCATGTCACACGTTCATGTCTCAATCCCTAATAACGTTGTGCTCACATTAAAGGATATTGCCTGATAAGGTTCTCGACTTCCACCGCATCAGGTCCTTGCTGGTCGGCAGGCTCGTCGTGATCGTCCACGAATTTATTCTCGTCGAATTCATCAATGTCCACCTTTCTGAAGCGCGAAGACAGCGTGTTCTTGGCCATCGGGGCCAGTGTCCCTCTCCAGCGTCCCGTGTGCTGTAACAGTTCCTGTGCTCCAATGGGAGATTTCAGTCTCTGCTTATAGTCGGCGTCAGGGACTCCACATTGAAGCACATCCAAAGATGGATGAGTTGCTTAGCCAAAGTGGGCTGCGTTCAGTGTGTTATACCGCCACACACCAGCACATGAGCTGTTTCAGTGTACCGATGCAGAGCCGCATATTTAATATGAAAGGTATGATAGCGAAAGCTAGAGTACTACTGCCGCCTGCTGAGTGGGAGTGTATGAAAGGATTTTACAGTTAAAGGGACAGTTCACAAGAAATTCTGTCAATACTTAGGACTATAGCTAAAATGTATGAATATATAGGGCCTAAAACAGTCAGTATTCGCATCGCTGTAAATTTTTCACAACCAAAGTCATCGTTTACTTTCTTTGCATCTTTTTTTCCACGCGATTAGAGTGAATTCTGCCAGTTTGTCCCTTTAAGTAATGTAAATAGCTGTATTTCACCTATATTTTATTATGACTATTTGTCACAATCAATTGTAACTGGAGTAAAATTACACAGGCGAAATTGTTCAATTGTGCAGTAAGACCCAAAAGAAAACGGCAAAAAAAAAGAATAATAATAATAATTTAATGCAGCGTTACTTAAAATTCTGAAATTGTATAACTGCTTAACCTCCCCACTGACTATTATTATATATTACATGATCTGCGATCATTATTTTTTATGGCACAGACAGAGCACTTGTTTGTATTTATTAATAATAGACCTTTTAAATATTATATTTGTGACCCTGGACCACAAAACCAGTCATAAGTAGCATGGGTACATTTGTAGCAATAGCCAACAATACATCGTATGGGTCAAAATTATCGATTTTTTTTTCTTTTATGCCAAATATCATTAGGACATTAAGTAAAGGTCATGTTCCATGAATATATTTAGTAAATTTTCTTCCGTAAATATATCTAAACTTAATTTTTGATTAGTAATATGCATTGCTAAGAACATAATTTGGACAACTTTAAAGGCGATTTTCTCAATATTTTGATTTTTTTTGCACCCTCAGATTCCAGATTTTCAAGTAGTTGTATCTCAGCCAAATATTGCCCTATCCTAAAAAACCTTCAGTGGAAAGCTTATTTATTCAGCTTTCAGATGATGTATAAATCTCAATTTAAAAAAAAAATGTACCCTTATGACTGGTTTTGTTATATGTGGCTCTTTTTTAAATGCTTCTTTTTATCGAGCTTATTTGACACAGACACAAACATGTAAACATGAATCAAAACAATCTGCAGATTTATAGTTGATAATTGTAAAATAACACCAACAATTGTTGACAGCACAAAATGAATTAGTTTCAAATATAAACGTGTTGTAAGGCGGCGTTTGACCGCTAGAGGGTGCTATAGGTCACTTAATTCTGAGTCTGCGCAGACGCAGCCAGTTTGTTTTGTTGTGTCCGCCATATTGAACTGCTCACAGAAGGAACGTATCTAGATTGAAGAAGTTCAACCAGATAGAACTGTGATATGTACTGACTCAATGGCTGCGCTCACTAGCCTACTAAGTGGTAAATCTGAAGCTCGGCAAGACTTAGTATTTGAAGTTTTACAAAGTTTGTTTAGAATAAGGCAGTTAAGGATAGAGGTACGATTCCTCTGGGTGCCTGCACATGTGGGTGTGGATGGAAATGAGGAAGTAGACTTGCTAGCAAAGAAAGCATTAAATCATACACAAATAGAAATTAAGTTAGCTTTAAGTAAAGCTGAATTCAAGAGAGTGATATCATTTGAAGTAAGTAAGAAATGGCAAAAGTTATGGAATAATGGGTCTAAAGGAAGACATCTTTTCCAGATTCAGGAGTGTGTTGGAAATGAGAGGAAAAGATACGGAAATAGGAAGAAAGATGTCATCTTATCAAGACTAAGAATCGGACATACAGCATTAAACTATAGTCTTTATAAAATAGGTAAGCATGAATCGGGAAAGTGTGACAATGTGGAGAATTAGAAACAGTGAAACATATTATTGTTGAGTGTTCTGCATATGAAAGGGAGAGATTTCAATTAATTCAAGAATTAGGATGGCTGGGAGTTGATAATATTTCTTTAAAAGTATTGTTAGGAAATGGGTCGAGGCAATCAAGAGTGCAAGAAAATATGTTTAAATACCTGAAAAACACAGGAACAATAGATAGAATCTAGTTTTTTTTTTCTTTTTTTTTCTTTTCTTTTTTTTTCCTCCTTTCTTTCCCTTCTGTATTTCTTTCTTCCAAATTATTCACACTCCACACTCCAGATCAGTAGGTGGCGGTAATGCACCTCTTCCGCTGGTTTGCCAAACCGCCATAAAACACCAGAAGAAGAAGAAGGAACGTATCTTTCATCGAGGACGAGTTCTAAAGTTAAAATTACTCTATTTTTTAAACTTAATTAGTGTTTTTAAATTCATTCTGATTTGTAGTGTTTCCTGCATAGTGAGCAATGGGGAAGAGATATTACTGCGACTACTGTGACCGCAGTTTTCAAGACAACCTGCACAACAGAAAGAAGCACCTAAACGGCGTCCAGCATCACCGGGCTAAAAAATCCTGGTTTGACAACTTCAGAGGTACTCACAGAAAACTTCACAAAGCAGTAGGAGGCTACAAAACAATTCATTGGAAATGAATCACTTTTTTTATTTTTTTATTTTCAGACGCTGCCACATTTTTAAATGAAGAGCGGACAAAGGAGCCCTGCAGAAAGTTTCTCCAGACAGGTGAGAAAATTGACAGAGGAAGCCACACCGCTGTGTAGTAAGTTTTCTACTGTGAATCTGATAAGTTTGCTTTGTCCTCTTACTGTCTTCCAGGACAATGTATATTTGGTACAAGCTGTCGTTTTTCACACATGTCTGAGAGACATATGAAGATGTTGGAGCAAAGTAGACTTGCTAGCAAAGAAAGCATTAAATCATACACAAATAGAAATTAAGTTAGCTTTAAGTAAAGCTGAATTCAAGAGAGTGATATCATATGTCATAAGTAAGAAGTGGCAAAAGTTATGGAATAATGGGTCTAAAGGAAGACATCTTTTCCAGATTCAGGAGTGTGTTGGAAATGAGAGGAAAAGATACGGAAATAGGAAGAAAGATGTCATCTTATCAAGACTAAGAATCGGACATACAGCATTAAACTATAGTCTTTATAAAATAGGTAAGCATGAATCGGGAAAGTGTGACAAATGTGGAGAATTAGAAACAGTGAAACATATTATTGTTGAGTGTTCTGCATATGAAAGGGAGAGATTTCAATTAATTCAAGAATTAGGATGGCTGGGAGTTGATAATATTTCTTTAAAAGTATTGTTAGGAAATGGGTCGAGGCAATCAAGAGTGCAAGAAAATATGTTTAAATACCTGAAAAACACAGGAACAATAGATAGAATCTAGTTTTTTTTTTCTTTTTTTTTCTTTTCTTTTTTTTTCCTCCTTTCTTTCCCTTCTGTATTTCTTTCTTCCAAATTATTCACACTCCACACTCCAGATCAGTAGGTGGCGGTAATGCACCTCTTCCGCTGGTTTGCCAAACCGCCATAAAACACCAGAAGAAGAAGAAGAAGAAGGAACGTATCTTTCATCGAGGACGAGTTCTAAAGTTAAAATTACTCTAGTTTTTAAACTTAATTAGTGTTTTTAAATTCATTCTGATTTGTAGTGTTTCCTGCATAGTGAGCAATGGGGAAGAGATATTACTGCGACTACTGTGACCGCAGTTTTCAAGACAACCTGCACAACAGAAAGAAGCACCTAAACGGCGTCCAGCATCACCGGGCTAAAAAATCCTGGTTTGACAACTTCAGAGGTACTCACAGAAAACTTCACAAAGCAGTAGGAGGCTACAAAACAATTCATTGGAAATGAATCACTTTTTTTATTTTTTTATTTTCAGACGCTGCCACATTTTTAAATGAAGAGCGGACAAAGGAGCCCTGCAGAAAGTTTCTCCAGACAGGTGAGAAAATTGACAGAGGAAGCCACACCGCTGTGTAGTAAGTTTTCTACTGTGAATCTGATAAGTTTGCTTTGTCCTCTTACTGTCTTCCAGGACAATGTATATTTGGTACAAGCTGTCGTTTTTCACACATGTCTGAGAGACATATGAAGATGCTGGAGCAAAAGATTGATGGTGAGGTGCTACAGAAGTCAGCAGCAGCTTTCTTGGACCTTCATCTTATGATGTCTTTGAGATGTGTCATTGATCTTTAAGTCATAGTTTACTGAGGAGGCAAGCTGTTGTCTTACACTTAGACATTTTCACAGTCTGTTAAACTGAGTAGCAATTGTGGCAATTTCCTGTCAGATGAAAAGCGGAAGAAGGAAGACCCTGACCAAGATGGATCATCTACTGAGCGCAGCATTGATGAATGGCTCACCAGAAGAGAGAAGAAACTGGCTGCTTTGACATCAGGAAGGTACTAAATGTGGGATACTGCACAGAATGATGATTTGAAAAGGCTGGAATGTTTCCAACAAGTATTTCATTCACTAAGATGGGTTTAGTTCTTAATTACTTTGACTTTGATGTTGACAAATGATCACTTTTCTTACTTGCTTAGTTGGAACTCACAATTCACACTCTAACATGAAGGATGATGCTCGTGTTACCCATTGTTTGGGATTTAGTATTATACTGATTGCAGAAACACTTTATTTTGTCTAAAACAATCAATTTTGTTACGACTGAGCATGTTGCTGAACTTAATGGATGAAGGATTCCAGCTGCTTAGGTGCAAGTGTGTTTCAGAGCATTCAAAATGCATGAAAAATCTTGTTTTAGAGGTCACCCTGACGCACATTAAAATTAGATGCCTGCAGCCTACAGCTGTGTCATTTGCATAATTATCTGCATATAGGTTCCAGTGGTAGAGAAAACACACATATGCTCTTGAGCTCAGCAGTCACCTGTAACTCTTTTTATTTTCAGAGTTTTAAAGATGGAAGAGGAAGAATGTGCTGAAAACATTGAGATACCTCCATATTTGCTGTCTATTCCAGATCTTCCTCCATCTCTTCATCCTCCACCAACTGGTGGTTGGAGAGTGACGCTACACAATGAATGGGGTTGAAATGTAATTTATAAAAGTTATTTATAATTATTCCTTTTTTTCCTTCAAGAACATGCTGCTAACTATTATCATTACAAAGCCCTTGTATGCAATTCCTTAAAGGAATAATTCACACAAAAATAAAACAAAAATTCCTCACCCTCAGGCTGTCCAAGATCATTTTGTTTGTTCCTTGTAATGCTAAATTTCTCCAAATCTATTACATTGCTTAGCAATAGATCCTCTGCAGTGAATAAGTGTCGATCCATTAGTAAGCAGCAAGTGATGTAATGCTAAATTTCTCCAAATCTGTTCAGATGAAGAAACAAGCTCATCTACATCTTGGATGGCCTGAGGGTGAGTGAATTTTCAGCTAATTTTCCTTTCTGGGTGAACTGTTTCTTGGAGGGAGAACAGTGTGTATATTTGTATCATGTTTTGCAAGAATAAACAAGTTTACATTGTGGACAGGTTTATTTTGAATATTGTGGACATAATTTCATAATGTGGGGCTGTAATTTGTGTGTCCGGAAAAGAACACAATGTTATTTAACTTTAAAAGTTAGGCGTTAACATAATTGATTGCTTTTATTTGCTGTCTATCATGAAGTTGACAGTGTTCCCAAGCTGAACGTTACACTATGGAGAGAGTTATTGTTTTTGTCTGCCTTCTGTGTCAGTGGTTTAGATTGAAATTCAGATGAGGGAAGTGTTTTCAATTTAGTCTTGATTGCTTGTTGCAGGGAGGTTTTGTACTGCTATCTTGCATGGCCTTGGTGAATTCCTCTTGTCTGCACTGATGAATGTTACACTTGATTGGGATGCATTACGTTTACAAGCCTGGTGATGAACGGTCTTATTGGCTAGGCATTAGAGAAAAGATAGTATTAGTAGTCTAAAACCTTGTTTCACTGCTAAATACTTTTTGTTGGTCTAGTTGAGATTATTTACTTAATACTAGCACCAGTATATAAAGCTCATGGAATAATAATAATAAAAAAAATGTTAGCAGACCCATTCCACCGAAGCATTTTATATGCATACTCGTGTGGAAATATGACCAAATAAATTAAGCTAAACCAGCATCCTTTTTTAAAGTGCTGCATACTATAGTAATGTGTGTAATGTAATACAAACAAAATGACAATGAGAAAGACCAAAGAAGAAGCACCACTGTTTTAATTCATTTGTTCACATGGTGCAATTAAATGTAACATCAGCACATGTTGGCACATCATAGATTCAAGGTTGTTTTCTAGGGCTATATTGATGCAATATAAAGTTACATACATCAGTTAGATATATTACTGTTACATCACTACATTAATATAATCAAGTGAGCTAATTTATAACTGCCAACGTGTATCAGCCATTATGTAGTTGGGTGTAATAGATGTAATTTAAGTAAATGTGCTGTAATATTTCCATGTGGAATAAGATTAATTAATATGAAGTAATATTGGAAAAATAAAAAAATAAAACTATTTTTTATATAATCCTAGGACTTTTACCCATTACTCTGAAAAAAAAAAAAACATATTGCAGTGTTAAATAATAATACCCCTATTATTGTGTAAAAACGATTTGCACAGCAGATCACATGCTTGAGCTTTGGAAATTGCGAGCGTGATATGTTTCTAATGTCCTGAAATCAGTATATCTCAATTTGTATATGTATAGATATATAAATCGTAACTTTAAATCACAGTCATCAAATAAGCATAGATTGCATATTTTAACAACAGAGGCTGACCTTGACACCACACAATACAACATGTCAGAAAATTACAAATGCATGCAACTGCAAAGAAACAGGTTTTCATCATTGCTTATATATTTTGCGCAAAGGTTGTCTTGTCATGTCAGCTATTCAGACTTCAGAGATTACAAGTCAGAATGTCTTGAGTTTGCGAACTACAAACTTTCTGTAAAGTAGAATAGTAATAATATTACTCTGGAAAAAAGTCTTAAGTTGTATATTGATATTGTTTCACTCTATAGCCTCATAAAACCAATGCAACACTATCATTACAATCATATGCAGTTGCAGATTCATTTAAATAATCAGTCATAACAGACTTAACTTACATTATTTTTTTTTCCAAATTAAGTAAAAGAAATTTTAATGAACAACTTATATGTATCAGTTAAGTGTCATCTGTGATATAGCACAAACGTGAATTAAATACTGAGAAAGTGCACAAAAATATACAATTTGGACTTCAAACCTAAGACACAGAACAACACCATCCAATTTACTGTTTAGGCACTGAGATGACTGACAAATGCATAAATTACAGATAGATGCTGGATGCATACATTTATTTCAGAGTATGCATACGCCAAATATTGCTTGTTACAATTAACTCGCACCAAATTTAAAGCTATTAAGTTAACTTAAAAATAATACTTTTGAATAACTTGCACTGGTTCATTCCCTTTGAGTTACGCTATGAATGCATAAACTTAAAGCAACTGTATGTAGTTTTGTGTGTTTTTGCAACTTTGGAGCCCCATGCAGTTAAGCGAGTGGAATTCGTAATTACCCTGGAAAGCAGTACACGTGCATACTGCCGTAATGCAATCCGCCCTTTTCGCAGAAATTCGTACCCGCTCATTCTCCCACAACAGACATTTGAGGGGAGAGTTTGAACCAATCAGACCATTTGGGCGAATTATTTTGAAACCGATATTTCAAGGTAAAAAAAAAAAAAAATAAAAATACATAGTTGCTTCAAAAGCTAACTTAAACTTAACCTGTAATTTTCACGTACAATGAGAGCACATTAATGTCATGACTTAAAAATAAAAAATGGACCATTATACAGATCACAACACCCCAGAACAATGAAATCCACAAGTTCTTAAAAGAAAATGATAATATTGATACAGACTGATTACTCATTGACAACATTGATGTTATCAAAATGCTAGGAAACACCTCATGCAAACATGTATTAACACTCAGAACAGTTATATTGCAAGATATCAACAAAAACATTTAGTCTCACGTGGCACACTATACGAATAGCCTGTAATATTCAGTCATTTTTCACAACACTTTTTTCTCACACAACCAGCAGACAATTTAATAAAAGACCTGTCGACAAACAATCCTGAGAGTCAAGACGGGAAGAAATACTGTTTTTGCAAGTTAACAAAAGACAATTGCACAGGTTAGGTTCAGTAACACTTTGTATTGTCACCAAATTTATACTCTATTTTCCATCACAGTTTATTACTGGTAGATTTCTAGTACATTCATTTTCTTTTTAAATTGCTCTAAGCCTAACTACTCATGGTGACTTAATGTTTAGAAATTTGTTTATTTCCTCTTTATATTCTGTATCCATTCATCCATCAAACCGGTGATGTTTGACACCATGTTGGTAAAATAAATCTAGGTTCTACTGGATCTAAAATTGCGTAAGGTCACACGTTGTTACAAAATGGGGAAGTAGTTTTGTCAATGTCATTGTGTCATGTTATATAATGACACGATATTGATATAAAGTGAATTACAACTATACAATACTTTTAAGTATGATGTGCTACATTATAATAGATGTCTACTTTGTAACATAAGCCAAAGAAAAAATTTAATATTTCTTGAGGACAATGATCATTAATATAGGATAATGATAATAACACTTTTAAACTGTTAAGTAAAGTGTGTCTTTACCTTGAGTTTGTAGTAGAATGAAAGTGCAGCCTTTGGTGTTTCTGTAAAACTGGTCATTAGAAACTAGTGAAATTAGTAGACTTTTTTTTGCATGTTTACCTTGTTTCCTTTTGTCAGTCATTCATTGTCTTAGAAACAGAACTGTTTATTTCATTCCTCTTCGAAGCATCTGATTGGCTGCGATGAGCATGACGCTGATGATGAATGCAAAGGCGAAGGCACAAATCAAGCTCTTGCGCACACAGGTGTGCTTGACTTGTTGCATGGGACTTGCTTTGAGGACAAGTTGAAGAAAATGGAAGAGAAAGGTTATTATACATAATACTGGATTTTTCCACCAGACATATATTTATACAACATCAGTCCTCAAATCTGATTGGTCAGGCAGTGTTAAAAGAGTCCAACAACTCTAGTACTTTTCACTGTTTGTATCACTTCATTTGTCTGTATTTATGCATTTCAGTGTGTTCTTTATTAGCAGAGACTTTTCATTGACTCTTTCTGCAGGTTACATAGTTTCACCAGTAGGTGGCAATAAGTGAGTGAGTCATTGAATCACTCATTCAAACAAGTCACACAAAAGCACTGATTCAATTCATTCTAAAACTTTGATTCATTCAGGAACAAAACAAGTGACTTTACGGTCTTTATGGGTGAGTAATTAAATAATCTACTTAATAATGAATGAATGAATGAATCAATCAAAAAACGCTAGTAAATTTAGAAACCAAACACAGCTACGGTGTGTTGCTCAGGGTTGCCACAGTCCTGTTGTGGATTCGTTTGTTAATATTTTAATTAGCGTTGCAAAACAGATAACTGCAAATATTGTGTCTAAAATGTAAATGACTCAGTATTAACTATTTTTAATATTAAGATTTCCAGCTGCTGCAGCTGATAAAACAACACTTGTGGTTGTGTGATATTGCGTACTTTTTTTTGTTTTGTTTTTGGAAAGACAAACTTTTCATCTCTTAAGTTTCCCTTCAAGTGTGTATTGTTTTTTTTTTGCTTCAATTAGATACAATATGTGTATAAGCTTCTTATGAAAAGGAATAAAAACTTGCCAGTGGCTGGTATTCAGTAAAAATATATTTTCTACCAAAGAGTACGAGGTGTTCAAGTGCTCATCGGTATTACAGATACATTCCCCACTGTCCTGCTTCAAACAGATTCATGAGCTCCTTTATTTCCCCAGGACTATCAACAGAATATGTTTCAGCTAATAATAGACCGTTTTTCTACACTGCAGCAATAACCTCTGTGTCTTGGGTTTTTAATGGAGTTGACAGACAATTTTGATTGACACGATAATGCCCAGACACTTCATAATGATACGGATGCGTGGGCACACACAGGGAGCGAATATGCTAGAGACAAACATCCAAGGTCAATGTATCATGTTTGCCGCAATTTTGTTATTTTTTGCTTTGCTTTTGAGAATTGTTAGCGTATGAAGCCTTACTGTCAATATCTACTTGGCACTCGGGGCTGTTCAAGTGACTCTCCTCAGTCATGATGATGTTCTCGATGTCTTTCATAGTCAAATGGTCACAGAAGGTGTCATACAGGAGTCTCTTCAGCTCATCCACAGTCAGCTTTTGCATGTCACACTAATGACACAAGGAGAATAAAATTGACCTTTTCATTAAAGGAGCAA